CAGAACATGTCGTGTTCAGACTACAGGAGTGCTCAAGACCCGGGCCGGTGAGCCGCGCGGGGCCAGCCCCCGGCTCTTCCTCGGCCGCCGCCGGCCCAGGCTTTCCTTCGGGAGCCGCCTCGTGGCCGGCCCGGGTTCGGGAGGAGGTCTCGTGGGGGTGCTCCCGGCAGCGGCGAGGCGTCCTGGCGTGCCCACAGGCCCGCCAAGCAGGGTTCTACAAGGACCTCGTGTGGTTTCTGCGGCACGCTCCGAGAACACGTCTGGCCGAGGCTGGCGTGTTTCAGCACATCGGGCTCCTGTTCTGAGCACAGTGCCGTTGTTCGTCGATCGTGTCTGGGTTCTAGGCACATGTCTTGGTAGGCCTGTAGGAATGCCGGGACGTTCGGTCTCTGCTCAAGTGCTGCTTCTCGGCTGCAAGCTGCTGGGGGCCGTGCTGGTCGCCGCGGTGTTCTTCGCGGCCACGGGGGGAGCTCTGGCGAGGGGCTCCCCGCCGGAGTGCAGGGTGAACCGCGAGGATGACCACTGCTCGCGGCAGGCACTAGGACGGCCAACTGCGGTTGGAGTCTCCTCCTTGTTCTTGGCGCGCATTTCGCTGGCCATCATGAAATCTGCGTACCGGCGCCACAATCATGTGCGGGTGTCTGTGGGAGGGGGGCCAGAGCGCAAGATGCAGCTGAGGAGGTGGCGGAGGCGCGACGGTTTCGTCCACGTGGCGAGCGCGTTGTGCAGGGTCCTGGCCACAAGCTGCGCCCTCTCCCTTTCTCGCGAACGTAGCTGCGGAGGACCATTTTAGCGTCGATGAGCGTGGTACGTAGCAGATTCATCGTCGAGCAGCGTCGACTTTTGTCGATCAGCCACGATTTCGGGCCGACGATCGTGGATCGGCGTCGGCCCGCAGGAGCCGACGCGATGGTACGGAATGCTCCCATGCGGTGCCACAGGAGAGGGAGGGAGAGCGAGGCGCTGTGGAGAGCAGAAGGGACGGAAGGACAGGCAGGGACAGAGGGGGGGGAGAGTGGGAGGGACAGGGTAGGGGGGGAGAGGGACAGAGAGGGAGAGCTGAGGGACAGAGGGAAGGACAGAGAGGAACAGAGAAGGAGAGCTGAGGGACAAGGAGGGAGACTGGGAGCACAAGACTGAGTCTACGCAGGGAGAGTGAGGTGAGGGGGCAAAGGGGGCAGAACGAGGTGGTAAGCGAGGAGGAGGAGGAGGAGGAGGAGGAGGAGGAGGAGGAGGGGAGAGGAGAGGAGGAGGAGGGGGAGGAGGAGGAGGAGGAGGAAGGAGGAGGAGGAGGAGGAGGAGGAGGAGGAGGCGGGAGAGAGGAGGGGAGAGGGGGAGAGGAGGAGGAGGAGGAGGGGGGAGGAGGAGGAGAGGAGGGGGGGAGGAGGAAGAGGGACAACGAGACAGGCCCCGCCTCATGTTCGCCTAGCGTCAAATCAGCAGGAGGAGGAGGAGAGGACGAGGAGGAGGAGGGGAGGAGAGGAGAGGAGGAGGAGGAGGAGGAGGAGTACGAGAGGGAGGAGGAGGAGAGGAGGAGGAGGAGGAGGAGGGGGAGGAGGAGGGGGGGGAGGGGGAGGGGGAGGAGGAGGATCTATTCGGCCTCAACGCCAGCTCAGCCCGAAGCGCAGCTGCAACGATGGCCGGAAGCCGCCGCAGATGGGTGCGCGGCGAGAGCCTCGCACCGGGCCACCTGCGGCCCCGTGGGCCTGGCGGCAGAGGGCCGGCGCGCGCCACAGCCAGAGGGGCTCCGCAGCCGGGGTAGGGCAGGGCGAACATCGGCGGCGAGCAGGAGGAGGAGGAGAAGGCCTTCTCAGAAAGAGAAGGAGCAGGAGCAGGAGCAGGAGAAGGAGCAGGAGAGGGAGCAGGAGGAGGCGAACCTCGGCGGCGAGCAGGCGCAGGAGAAAGAGCTGAGGGGGGGAGCCGAGGAGGAGAAGGCCAATTCTCAGAAAGCCGCGGGACCTCTCGGGAGGCCTCGCGCCTTCCGGGGAGTCTCCGGCGTCTCCAGGGCAGGCTCGGATGGTTCCTCGGAAGGCCAGTGGCCTTCCGAGCCTTCCGAGCAGGGGCGCCCTTTCTCTCGCTGCACCCACCGGGCGCGCCGCCGAGAACAGGTCATGGGAGGCCCAGGAGGACAGGGCGGAGAGTAGGGGAACGAAAAATGACAGAAACATAAAAACTCGGAGGTCCGCGCGGATTTCTTGGATCTGCGCTGGGCCCCCCTCCCTGGCGCGCGGAGCGCGCCAGGGGCGGCTCCGGAGGCTCCGCCAGGGGGCCCCAGCGCCGATCCGAGAAATCAGCGCGCCTCCGAGTTTTTATTTTTATGTCATTGTTCGTCTACCTAGAGAGGCACCGGGGAGCGGGCGGGAGGCCGCATGGGGAAGAGGGTGGGCGCGAGGCGCCACGGGGCGCACGGGTGGCCGCCGGGGGTCCCCGGGAAGGCCTGCTGGACCCGCCGCCGCAGAAGCACGCGATGGTGTGGCACACGCAGCGGGTGATCTCAGGCCCCCCCCCCCTCTCTCTCTCTCGCCGGCGGCGGCGGGTGCTCGGGATCCAGGGGCAGCGGGAGCGGCCCACTGACGCCGCCGCCGCCTTCGCGGCTCTGCGAGGGTTGACGTCTGGGCACCGAGGTCTGGTTGGGCCCCTGGGGGGACAGTGTCGTTTGACCGATCCCCATCCCCATCGGGCAATGGTATTTCAGCCCCTCCCGCAACATCCCGCCACCCCAGTTGGGGATAGGCCCCTCGAAATCCGAAGGGAACAGCCCAACTCCCAACGACGCGTAGAGGGGGGAAGCTATATTGGGCGTTCCAGAAACGGCCGCCACGGCCTCGCCTTCGAGGGTCGAAGGAGTTGGCATCTCTGCCTCGGCGGGAGGTGGCGACAGTACGGAATGGCCGCCTCCGCCGGCGAAAGCTGGTGGAGGTGGAAGTCGGCCTCCCAAGAGACGGCGAGTTTTTCCAACCATTTTGTGGTGTTGGGCCCTCGTTTTGAAGAGAGATCCCCGCGATTCCTCCTCTCCTCTGAAGGCGCTCCACCGAGGGCCCAGATGCCAGCGCTCGCATGCGCCCGCCGCACCCATTCTGGCACACCATTCACACGTTTCGTGGCCCCATAGGGAGCTCCACCGAAGGCCCAGATGCCAGCGCTCGCATGCGCCCGCCACACACATTTTGGCACACCCCTCACACGTTTCGTGGCCCAATGGGGAGCTCCACCGAAGGCCCAGATGCCAGCGCTCGCATGCGCTCGCCGCACCCTGTTTGGCTCACCTCTCACATGTTTCGTGGCCACATAGGAAGCTCCACCGAATGCGGTGCATACAACGCTTGTGCCCACAGCTGCATATGAAGGTCCTTCGCCAGGCTAGGTTTTGGCTCGGGGCTTGAGCCCGCCGTAAATCCACATATAGACCGGTCCCCGAAGGTCGAGCCCCATGCGGTGGGCATGGGCAAGTCTCCAAGCGGTGGATCTGGACGAACCCTGGGCCTCACCCCACCTGCCCGCGAGTATCCTGGCCCCAGGCCCCCTGAAGGTTGTCCCCGGGGGAGGCAGATCTGCACAGAGACCTGCCTCCCCCGGGGCCATCATGACAGGTCTTGTATCTAGAACCCAAAGCTTACGATGCAACTCCTGAGTGGGTTAATGCAGCATCGGCGCTGTCGTGTTCGTGGTCCGAACCTTGCCCTGTCTGGCATCATCCTGTGTAGTCTCGCTTAACATGGCGCATCCAGCTTGATGGCCCTTTACTTTGCGCAGTAGCCTTTACGTGTTCCCACGAAGACACCCGAGAGTTGTCGCCTAGTTGAGCCTCCTCTCACCCGCCTGCAGGCATCTTGGCCAAACGTGGGTCCCCAGAGGTCTACGCAGACCCCTTCCCTAGGACCAGCTTCTCTCAGGAGGGGAAAAACACAGACACAATTAATCGTCGATTCCCAGGAAAATATGGGAAGTGGGTTGGAAGACAAAAACACAGAAAATATAGGAAAATGTTGGGAATATTTTTATTTGTGTGTATTTATTTGTGTGTCCTGGGGCCCCTTCATTTTCATCCCGAGCCCTCTCTTGACGGCCCCAAGGGCCAGTGAGGGTCCCCAGGGGCCGAACGCGGCCAAGCACCGTCCGTCGTGATTGTCTCGCGCACCGAGAGGGCTTTGCTAGCCAATCATGGGGGCCTTGTATGTCGGAGGTGGATAGACCTCCTACCATGACACGTCGATTAGGGAATTGGCCGTTTTCGGTTCGCGAGAGGGCGTCGCGGTCGTCATTTTTGCGGGTCCAGGTCCGTCGGTTTCGGTCCCAGGCCGCTTGCAGTAAGGGAAGGTTTACTAAAGGGAGGTTTGTCCACCGCCGAGTTAGCGTGCGCCAGCGTCTGGTCATCGATCATCTCGCAGACTTGGCGTCGCTGTGGCGTTGAGCAGCGTCGACTTCGGTCAGCGCCGGTGTGCGCCGATTCGCAAGAGCCAGCAAAATGGCATCGGAGGCTCGCAAAGGGGAGGGGGGGGGGCCTCGAGCCACGAGCTGCCTCTCATCGAGAACAAAAGAACCCCCTGACCCTCCCTACAGTCGGGCTGCTGAAAGAAGGAACGCTAAATAAGGCACGAGGCCCCTCTGTGGCTTCAAAAAAGCCATGGTGCGCGAGAAGTGCTAGAGGAACAACCACGGAAGGACGTAAGGGACGTCGAGCCCTTTCCGAATCCAAACTGTTTCGTATTTCAGCGTCTTGGCTGTAATCGAATGGCCTTCGGCCCATCCCGCCACCATGCCTGGGTTGTGGGTATGAAGCCTATTAGATGTTCGGTGGGATCTCGTGGGAGGGCTCACGAGGGCCTCTTGGATTTTGGAGGCCCGTTTCTTCTGGGCCTCTTGGGGCCCTCTGAGGGCCTCTTGGGGGCTTGTTGGGGGTCTCCTGGGGCTTTTGGTTTGGGGCGGAAGGCTCGGATTTTCGGTCCGTGTTCCATCTCTCGGACTCCTTTTGGAGCCCTTTTGGTGCTGTCTTTGGCGCCCCTTGAGCCGTCTTGCGGCGCTGTTAGGCTATCTTGGGGTCTTCCTGGAGGCCCTTTATGCCGTTTTGGTGTGGTCTTGGGGGCCTTTTGGGCCGTCTTGGAGCGCCAGAAAGCTGAAAAGGCGAGAACGCCCACACTTGTTTTTAACAACTTGAGGCCCTCTTGGGAGGCCTCCCTCTCGGACCGTCTCGGGGGCCTCACGGAGCCCTCTTGGCCCTTCTTCGGGCCCTCGCGGGCCCGAAGAAGTCATGCGGGAACATTTCCCGGAGCCCAGGGGGCACGCGGGAAGCACCACAGGAGAGGGAGATGTTCTGTATTCTGGGCCTCGAAGACGCCTCAGGATTGGATACTGAGGCTGCAGGGATTGGGCTAAGGACCCGACGGGACGCCCGCTCCGTGGCCAGAGGCACGGTGGCGGATGTTCTTGGCCCCTTCACCGAGGTGCGCTTCCAAAGGGTTCAGGGGTCCTGCATTTCTCAGGAGGGAAAAAAACACACAGACACAATGCATCGCCCACTCCCAGGAAACTATGGGAAAATATGGGAAGTGGGGGGGAAGACACAAGCCCAGGAACTATAGGAAAATATGGGGAACGTTTTTCTTCGTGTGTCTTTATTTGTGTGTCCCAGGGCCCCTTCAATAACTTCTACGGCTCGCCCGCACGGGAAGGATGAGCCACTCTCCAAGCTTGCCCTCGCCGCGCCCTCCCCCATCGGCCCATCCTCGGCCGCTCTCCCTGGCCGCGCCCCGCCCGCAGAGCTGCGGCATGTGGCCTTCCGGGGCCCTCGCCTCCTCCTCGCGCGCCCCTGCTGCACACGGGCTGGCTGGACTCGCCCAGGCGTTTCGAGGCGTGGGCCCCGGAGGTCGTTGCAGGGACCTATGAAGAGGGAGGGCTTACTCCATCATCGTTGATGCGTCTTTGGTTTACGCTGGTCCTCCTCTCCTCCTCCTCCTCCTCCTCCCTCTCCCCCTCTCTCCCTCTCTCCTCATCCCTGTCGTCCTCTCTCCTTGTCCTCCTCCCCCCCCAGACTTCTCCCCACAGGGCCCGTATCCTGAGCCGTTACCCACAGACCCAGGGCCCGGCAAGGGCCCCCTCTGGACCACCTCCCTATGGCCGGGGCTGGACAGACCTCCCACTTCGACGCGCCGATTCGCGAATTGGCCGTGTTCGGTTCGCGAGAGGGCGCCGCGGCCGTCATTCGGCGGGTCCAGGTCCGTCGGTTTCGGTCCCGGGCCGTTTTCACTACAGGGTGGTCTACTTAAAGGGAGCTTCGTCCACCGCCGGTACAGGGCCGGCTCCTCGCCCGGAGCCGCTCTGCGACGGTCCCGCGCGGCTCGGCGAGGGCCCCCGGAGGCCGACCACGGCCCCCAGCACCGCCCGCCCTGCGGCACTGCGGACCATCCTGAGAGGCTTGCTGAGCCTCCCGTTGTTCTTGGCATCGCTCGGACGTGTGCGTTTTCCTTTCGGCGAGGACCATCGAGGAACATCCTTGATCACTTGGCGAAAAAGCCACGCACGAAACCGGAAAAAGCACAGGGAATGGACGTCCGAGCGATGGCGAGGGTTTGTCGGAGCGTCGGATCTCGGGGGAAGTCTAGGGGAACGAACATTGGCACAAGCATAAAAGCTCGGAGATCCGCGCGGGCTGCTCGGATCCGCGCCGGACGCCCCTCCCTGGCGCGCTGAGCGCGCCAGGAGCGGCGCCAGAGGCGCCGCCAGGGGGGTCCAGCGCGGATCCGAGAAACCCGCGCGCACCTCCGAGTTTGAAGGTTTATGTTATTTTTCGTTCCCCTAGAATTGCTGATCGTCAGGATCCTCCGACCCCACTTGCTCCGACCCCATCACGGAGCGTCGGATCTCTGGGGAATTGCTGATTCCTCCTGGCGAACTGCTGCTCATCCTGTTTTTTTTGTCGGAGCGGCGGACCTCCTCGGGAGTTGCGGATCCTCCTCCTTTTCATCCTTCTCCTCCCCTTCCTCCTCCCCCTCCTCCTCCTCCTCCCCCTCCCCCCTCCTCCTGCTGCTCCTCCCCCTCCTCCTCCTTCTCCTCCTCCTCCTCCTCCTCCCTCCTCTCCTCACTCCTCCTCCTCCTCCTCCTCCTCCTCCTCCTCCTCCCCTCTCCTCCTCTCCTCCTCCTCCTCTCTCCTCCTCCTCCTCCTCCTCCTCCTCCTTCCTCCTCCTCCTCTCTCCTCCCCCTCCTCCTCCCCCCCCTCCTCCTGCTCCTCCTCCTCCCTCCTCCTCCTCATCTCGTACTCCTCCTCCCCCTCCTCCCCTCCTCCTCCTCCTCCTTCTCCTCCTCCTCCGCCTCCTCCTCCTCCTCCCCTCCTCCCTCTCCTCCGCCTCCTCCCCCTCCTCCTCCCGCCCGCCCGCGGCCGTCTCGGCCCCAGACCCCTGCCAGCTGGCGGGGGCGAGGCGGGAGCTGTCCAGGCCGCGGCTCGCGCGCGCGCGCGCCTCCCGCGGGGGAGGCGCCGCGCCGCGCCCGCCGGCCGTCCGCCGGCGG